ACTTCCTCTAAATCTAAGCTTTATGTTTTTGTGTAGATGGTATGTGCAAATCCCTCGGCTAGCTTGTGGATATACAGTCCGTATAGCTTTTGCAATAGAATTATGCCTATCAGAAATAATGGCTAGTCCATGATCATCTGGAATAACACAACTTAGTTGTCTGAAGAACTATTCCCAGGATTCATCGTTCTCTGAATCAACAACCGCAAACGCTATGGGAAATATATTGAAATTTCCATCTTGTGTGGTTGCTAGTAACAAGGTCCCTAAATATTTCCCCTTCAAAAAGGTACCATCCACAACAATAACTTTCCTCATAAAAGTAAAGCCGTCAATGCTAGCACCAAATGCAATGAAAACATACTTGAATCTATCTAACTCATCTACTTCAAGCCTAGTAAGGGTCCCGGGGTTTGCTCTCCTAATCCTGTATAAGTATTCTGGAAGGTGTTGATACCCTGTTTCCGGACTACCTCTAACTAATTCACGTGCATACTTAAGTGTACGATGAGCTTTCCAATATCCAACCTAGTAAGATGAAAGTTTATGTCATATAGTTACCAACGCCTTACGGGTGTGATCACTTTTATGGAAACCTAGTAAATAGACTATACCTTGATGCCATAACGCAGTTTCAACGCCTCAGAGACATGATTAGGGAGTACGCCTGGGCCTACACCACCAACGAAATTCTTGTAAAGTACTGCAAGTATATCCTTGGTTGCTTGTCTACAACGGGCGGATCGCTCTGTTACAGAACACGTATGCTGATTCACATAGACTTTGATGTGAAAATTCCCAGATGCATCAATCGGTGTAGCTCTAACTCTCCAATTGCACCCTTTAACCCAACAATTTATAGCATAAACCCACGGCATAGACCGAGAAACGACGAAGTCAAATTGTTGTAAGACACTAATTATCTTCATTCGAATCACCAATTGAAATTTCGATTCATATTTTTGCCCAACAGCGATAGCAACACCTCCACTAAGTAATTGCACATACTCTTTTGCAGTAATCGACACCCTCTTGCCAATTGGAACGATCCTATTCTCTTCTTTTTTTTGCACATCTACCATTTCTTCATCTTCTTCATCTTTAACTGCTGCTTCCTCTGCATTCTCTTCTTCTTCAACTTCTAACTTTTCTTCGTCAGCTTCATCTTCATCATCTGTTTCCTCATCAGATAACTTATAAGACAAACCGTAATCTTCATCCCCAGAGCTTGCTCCATCACTATCATCGCAACAATCAAACCTATAAATCTCGTACTCATCCTCGCCTTTCTGTTCCTCTCCTTCTAGATAAGCTTCGTCGTACATTGAACAAGCATAAATTGGTTGTTTCCCTGCTGCTTTACTCTTGTAATACTGCTCTTCGTTGGACTCTGTTTTCTCAGGTGATGCATCCGGGCCAAAAATATATTTTCCAGTTTCATATTCTTCGATTTGGACACAGAGGCGCCCCACGAATTCGGAATTGCATTGCCGGATAAATCCTTCTAACTGGCGCCGGTTACATACAATAACCGGAGGAGTATCTTCTGGAATGACGATGAAGTTCATCGTATGCAATTTATAACTAAGCTTAACCTCATAAACCTTTCTATCAAACCCGAAATCCTCGTACACCATTGCCAAAAAATCATCAAACGAACTTCCTGCTTTCGCAGACAGTACCCTGCAACCTCTTCTTTCATCTACAATAAATGACCATTTGTTTTTTGCAAATTTCCACTTCCCACATACCAGTGGAATTTCTACCATCTTTCACCAGATGAAACAGCAATAGATCTGTAATAAACAACACTTTTTTGCTAAAATGTTTGCTTCGGGGGAACAAGACAGGTTTCCGGCGTAATAAATCGTTAATGTAAGGGTACACAAGACTTTCGCTTTTCTTTATGTTCGCCCTCTTTAACACTGATCGATAACAATTTCTTACATATCTATCACCACATAGGTCCAAAAAAATCGCTCTAACGTGCTAGTTGAGTAAACTGTTACTCTGCCTCGTTATGACAAAGTTAAGAAATAACTCTGTCCAAATAATTAACTCTACCATGTTGTAACAGACTTATTACGGTTTCTGTGTCATATAACTCTAAATCGCTCTTTTAGTCTACCACCATTATATAAAACTCTCCCACACAAATATATTATTTTACAATATCACATAACTCTACCACCACATAAAACTAAATCTATCACGGTGTTATATGAGTAAACGTAAAGTCATCATAATCTGTCAAATGACTCTATGAAACAAATAACTCTGCTACTACGTAAAATATCTCTACCCGAAAACTCTATCAATTATTAACTCTATGATATTAATCTAACAGGAAAATATAATTTTTTTATTTCTATCGATTAAATCTAATAATTTAATTAACTCTGCCGTCACTATAGCGACAGAGTTTTGTCGGCGCGGGACATTTTCGCGGGTTAAATATAACTTCGCTAACTGACGTGGCAATGGCAGATTCGTAATTACGTTTCTCAGACAACATCAAACGAGGGGCAATTCTGCCTTTAACGACCAACAATCCGCACGAGACATGTGGGTAATAAACGTACTTTTTTGTGCTTTTTGAGTAACTCACCCAAAAACAAATGTAGTCACATGCAAAAATAAGAGAAGAAAAAGAAAATTTACTCTACCATTTCAAGTACTCTGGTTAGGAATTTCAATTCCTTTTAATTCAACTTTTTACCCTAAACATTAACAGTTGCACCCTTTAAATGTTTTAAGAAATTTTTTCCAAAACTTGTCGACTCACACTTTGAAAATATGGCTTTCCTGAAATTTCTAAAAGGTGACATGGAATAGTACCCCATTTGGTAGTTCTTGTTCTAAATAATTTTCTAACAAACTATGCTATTTGGTATATGTTTTTTTACTTTTTTTCCATAGGTTATTTGATAATTAATATGAGAGGGTGGGTTTTTGAGAATTAACATCCAGAACTAAGTTGAAACTCTTTATTTTAATTAACTTTTTGCATAAAATCTATATAATATTTGTTTTGTTGAGAATTAACATCAAGATGTAAGTTGAAACTCTTTATTTTAATTAACTTTTTGCATATATACACATAAATAATATAATCATCTTAAATAAAAATAATAACTAATAAAATCATATTTAAAGAAAAATTAATAAATACTATGAATATAAGCAATTGTAGAGTACCTCACTCAATATTGACAATCTTTGGTACGGATTTATTCTTTTGTTAATTGGTTTGGTATGGACTATTTTTGATACTACAATGTTATAATTTACGATTATATTATATTTTAATTTTAATATTTATTAAAGCGAGAGTATTACTGAATTACAGAATATAATACTAGAATATAAATATTATAGCTAGCGAGATATAATAGTTTATAAATGTTACAATTCCTGATAAATTAAAGTTGTTACGTTAGTTACAAATTAAATGTTTCTACTATACGTACGAAATACTCCCGAGTCGATACTTCTTTTTTATTTGCTAAGGAGTGGATACTTTTTTTGTTTTTATGTTGATTATTAAAGAATTTTAGTGACACTCTACGTACACTAATGGTGACGTTGTATTAAAGTGGAACATGCATGCATGAGTCATGATTTCTTTGTTTTATTCGATTTTCTTTTACCCAAGATTCACATAAGTCAAATTTGAAGACAGCTCTTGACCGTTTAATGTCTTTATGTTTCATTATTTTTTGTTTTAATCAGAAATGTTTCTGTGCCAGGTTGATTCTATTTCTTTTCTCTTCTTTCTCAAAGGGAGAGAGAGACGTAGTGCATTTCTTTACGTTCTCCTTTACATTAATGATATTATTCATTCTCTTAAAAAATAATATTCCTTCCGTTTCATAATATAAAAAATTTTGGATAAAATTTTTTTGTTTCACAATATAAATCGTTTACGAGTTTCTATGCAAATTATGTATTATTTTAATATTTTATGATTATTTATATTATGCAGTTTCTTTTATGATTGACTTAAATTTTTTAAAAAATAGATTTTCTTAATTAGCATGTTTCTACCTAAAACGATTTATATTATGAAACGGAAGGATTACTAAATAAATATATTTTACCTCATCCAGAAGTTGTTGATCCATGACCATCATTGGAAGATGATAGGTTCTTGTGGCTATTGGTGATAAGCCTCATTCTTGTATTTTTGAAAGTTCAAAATTTTGGCACTATTTGAATCCTCCAAATATTGTAGTGGTGAAGAGATTTGGTTTAAAGGAAGGATTTCCAATACATGCATTCCTCGCTTGGTTAGTCATTAGAAGAAGGCTACATACTCGAGATAGATTATTGGGTTGGGGTTTGTCGGTCCCAGCAACTTGTTTCCTTTGCAATTTACATGATGAATCGATTCAATACCTCTTTTATGATTGCATATTTTCAGGCGAGTTTGTCTTTTTCATATATAAAGTCCATGTTAACTCTATCCACTTTATTTGAACATGGGGTTAAATGGATTAAAGATCTTTGTCGCAATTTGAATATCGCTTTGATCCTCATGCTAGCTTTCCAAAATCAGCATTGTATGTTAGATTCTCAAGTAGCTAGACCACCAACCGACTTTGATCATCGACATTAAAAACACCATTCGTTGCTAGTTAGATCTTTTGTCTTAGAGCTCAAAGAGTTACCTCGACGATTAATTCGTTGTTGGGTACTTGGTTTGATTTTTTTAAACTTAGAGTCTGTTTATGTTTATTAGGTTGGCATGTTGCGAGCATATTTTTTCGGATGAGAAATTTGTGTGTTTTCTTTGTTGGGTCCTTGTGGATTTTTTTATTTTTTTCGGATGATAAATTTGTGTTTTTTTTCTCTGTTGGGCCATTGCGGACTTTTTATGGCCTTGTAATTTTTGTTTTTAATTAAAGGAATTTTTTAATTAAAAACTATATTATTAGGTTTATATAATTATAAGGGATTAAACAAAAAGCAGAAAACTAAAGCAGCAACTACTGTTGCACAAACGAAAACAAAGAACATAATCTCAAAAGAATACTAATAAATTAAATAAAAACTTTAATGGTAATGACAGCTAGACCTTATGGATATTGTTTCATAAAATGAGATTGACCTCAAACAAAATCATAATTTGCAAAGTCCTATATGATGTTGTAGTCGAACCTCTTGTTCCTTTACTTCCTTGGTCTTCTTCATTTCCTCAATTTGCAACTTAAACAATTCTCTTGCCTCCCCCAGTTTTTTCTGTCTGTCATATCTTTTAAGTAGTTGATCAATCTTCTCTTTTTCATTGCTTATAATGATTTCCACAAGGTGACATTGACCCCGAACAAAATTATCATTTGCGAATTCCCATTTCTTTGGATCAATTTTTTTGAAACTCTACACAGAAAAGAAGATTCGAAGTTTTTTAGCAAAAAAAAAAAAAAAAAAAAAAAAAAAAAAAAAAAACTAGCTAAAAGAATATGATTACATCTTACAAAACTAACATATAAAAAAACTTACAAATCTTTGAAGTTTATGGAAGAATAAAGGTATATGGAGGGTATTGGAGAATCTACGAAGAAGATCTTTGCAAAATTCCTTTGGATTCCAAATGATGAAACTCCTGCCACTCTGGCTCCATGAAATAATAGCATCCGATGAAGGATCGTCCACCATCTCATAGAGTTTGGTGGGAAAAGGACGTTTTGAGGTTGGATAACTGTTATGAGGTGGCAATTGATCCTCTACTTCTTTTACTTGCCGCTCAAATAATTTTCTCACCTTAAACATATCCATACTTTGATCATATAGAACCCTCCCCTCTATTACACAACTTATAGTATTATTTATGAGGTGAGGTTGACCTCGCACGAAATTATCATTTGCGAATTCCCAGTTTCCAGAGTCGATTTTTCTAAAACCCTACCATAAAGGAAGATTCAAAGTTGAAAGAAAACAAAACTATATACGATAACATCTTACTATATTAAACATATAAGTAACTTACATGTGAATTAAGGTAAGAGAAAAAGGAATTTATATTGTCGCCTTGGAAACAGAATCTTTGAAGGAAATTGTTGTAAAATTCTTCTGGATTCCAAATAATGAAACTCTTGCCGCTCTGGCTCCAAGAAATTATTGAATCTGATGAAAGATCATCGACCATATCATATGTTGTGGTGATGAAATTTGATATTGAGGTTGATGAACCTTCATTTTCGTTCAAATTTAACATATTGAATCTATAATCGTTAACACACCCAAAACCGACTTAGAGATTATTATCTAATTTATCTTAGTCAAGCTTCAAAATCCAATGACTAAAGCACCCTTTAACTTTTTTTATTTTTCTCATACAGTGTTGCAACTCTTGTGAAGTTACATGTCTTTATATATACTCACAATTCATAAATATTTAGAAGTAAAATATATTCAAAAATTAAATATGCTACCCAAATAAAGTGATTTTCTTCTATAAAATTCCACAATATTATATCTTATATATCATAGAAAATTAATTATCAAATAAATATTAAATTTAAATTTGATACAATTGGATATTTTCTAAGAAATATTAAAATTTTGATAAGATTTTATTTTATAGAAAAATAAATACATCTTTAGGTGAACAATCTAATATTCACTAAAAATAACAAATATCAATATAAAAACTTATTACAAGTTATAGATCCAAAGTTTAAAGTAAAATGAAATCTATAAAATTTTATTATTGTAATCTATACACTTTACTTCCCTAAATTGAAAATTAGAAAAATGATTTGAATGAATTGGCCCATAAAGATGGATCCCCACAATTAAGGGCCCAAAGATTCCAATCTAAAGAGAATATCCAAAGCCCAAAAATCAGGAACTTGTTTTGACTTCCCGAACAAGTTTTATAAAAATGACAACAATATGTATTTCTGTATCAAGTAACTTGTGTAACACTCCTCTCCGTTAAGATGAAGAAGACGCCACAGACCTCTACTTCTTGTCCCTCGCGGAAGAAAATGAAAATCCAAGACGCTGATTTTCCCAAAACCCTAGTTGATGATCCTGTTTCTGATTCCGCAAAACCCATATCGGATACTGCGGAAGACGAGTCAAAGTCTAGGGCTTTGAGCCAAATTAAACGGTGGATAAAACTGCGGAAGTGAAGAGCAAAATTGTGTTTTTGAAGAAGAAACCTGATGAATTCGATCCAAAACTAGTGTCTTGTTGGAAAATGGGGAGAGAGTTCCATTTATGTTTCTCTGTTTTGTTTTTGATCTGATTTCAAATGAAAGTAGACGACGGATTGTGTGATCCAACAGACTTTGACATGATTATGACTCGGGCAAATGCTCCATCTCCAAACCGCAAACTCAATGCAATTTGCAAAATTTTACTTCATGCAACAGTCTATGAGCTTTGGAAAGAAAGGATTACTCGCTCCCTTACACTCGGCTTCGCCACAAGTCACAACCAACGGCTCATTGGCTTCTCTGGGTTGTGAATGATCAAGAATGCATTGGTTATTTCTTCACAGAAACACATTCGTTATTTATAAACAAATAACAGAGCATATACCCTATCGTTATATATTAAAGTTTGTCCATACCATCATCATCTAGGTCTTCTTAACAGAAACAACCATAGTTATTTAGAAATTAAAAGATAGATTATCCTAATTCGTTATATATATAATATTATTTTTCATAACTTTGATACCGCCGTGGACGTCGATCATGGTTTCACTTCGGCCTTCGATGGTTTCTCCGATGGTCCCTCTCCCTCCACCGGTCTCACCGTGATCGTCATGACATCAATGCAGCACTTGAGAAGCTTCTCGGCACTTGCGTCTAACTCCGCCGCCGTGGTCGTCTTGTTGTCCATGCGCACTTGGACGGCATTCTTCAGATCGCGCAAGTTCTCATACAATTGCTTTTTCTTGCTCTCCATAGCGCTCTAAGCTCTCTTTTCTCCAACTTTTTTTTTTTTTTGGTTTGATATATTAAATTTCGCTTGTGATAGTGTATAACTAAACGTAATCACCTCTGGCTCTGTTTATATAGGAGACCAAATTATTTATCTTGTTTCTCATTATAATCTGAACTTGGTTTGCTGACTTAGTTAAGTGTTTTCGTGTTGCATTATGCCTACTTAATTTCCACTATCTGTACTTTTATGTCATCTATATACACACACACACGTCAATAAACCATAGTGTTTATTGTTTAATTAATAGACTTTTTCTTTATTTATATAAGATATGTTCTATTTTCTTATAAAATGCCATAATAAAAAAAAAATTATTAAAGATTTATATTTTCGATAATTTCTTATAAAATAATTACAATCACAAAAATGAAGTTTAAATTATTAAAAATCTGGTGGAATCCCCTTTTGACCCATTGGTTGACCAAGGGTTAATTAATGCTTCTACACCAAGATGTTTGGGGTTCGAGTCCCAGATATTGCAATTTATTAATAAATTTGCAGATTAAATGAGGCAAGTGTGCATGAGATCTCCAGCGAAGTACAATTATAGCCGTTCGCCAAGATTCTACGCAGAGAGAGAAGTGTCGTTAGGTCGTGGATCATTGAAGGTGTCCGTCAAGAGCATGGAGAAGGCAGTGTCGTAACAGTAACAGTTCTCATAATTTGCAATAAATAATAAATCTAGACGTAAAAAAAAAAAATTATTAAAAATCTGTTGACTCATTGATTTGATTTCATTTAGGATTTAACATTTTACATAGATTTAATTTTATACGGTTGAAAAAACATTGTGTGCAGAAAGAGAATTGAAAAAAATGAGTGCTTGTTCATCAACAACTCCAGTACCGATTCTGTCATTCACAGAGAGAGCTAAATCTCTGTTGGAGATTCAACAAGCTCACGCCTTTATGCTCAAAACCGGTCTTTTTCACGACACGTTTTCTGCGAGCAAGCTTGTTGCCTTCGCTGCAACAAACCCAGAACCCAAAACTGTCTCTTACGCTCACTCTATTCTCAATCGAATCGAGAGCCCTAATGGGTTCACTCACAATTCCGTTATCAGAGCTTATGCGAATAGCTCTACTCCTGAGATTGCTTTAACCGTGTTTCGTGAAATGCTTCTTGGTCCTGTGTTTCCCGATAAGTATAGCTTCACGTTTGTGTTGAAAGCTTGTGCTGCGTTTTGTGGGTTTGAAGAAGGAAGGCAAATTCACGGTCTTTTTATGAAGAGTGATTTGGTGACTGATGTGTTTGTGGAGAATACTTTGATTAATGTTTATGGAAGAAGCGGTTACTTTGAGATTGCACGTAAAGTGCTCGATAGAATGCCTGTGAGAGATGCTGTTTCTTGGAATTCGTTGTTGAGTGCTTATCTTGACAAGGGTTTGGTGGAAGAAGCTCGTGCGTTGTTTGATGAGATGGAGGAACGGAATGTGGAGTCTTGGAATTTTATGATTTCGGGTTATGCGGCTGCGGGGTTGGTTAAGGAAGCTAGGGAGGTTTTCGATTCTATGCCGGTGAAAGATGTGGTTTCCTGGAATGCTATGGTGACTGCTTATGCACATGTGGGTTGTTACAACGAGGTTTTAGAGGTTTTTAATATGATGCTGGATGATTCAGCAGAGAGACCAGATGGTTTTACTCTTGTTAATGTTTTATCTGCGTGTGCTAGTCTTGGATCCTTGAGTCAAGGTGAGTGGGTACATGTTTATATTGATAAGCATGGGATTGAGATTGAAGGGTTTGTGGCAACAGCTCTTGTGGATATGTATTCGAAGTGCGGGAAAATTGATAAGGCTCTTGAAGTGTTTAGAGATACTTCAAAGAGAGATGTCAGTACATGGAACTCGATAATCACGGGTTTGAGCGTCCACGGTCTTGGAAAGGATGCTTTAGAGATCTTCTCAGAGATGGTGTATGAAGGTTTTAAACCAAATGGTATCACATTTATTGGTGTTTTGTCGGCCTGCAATCATGTGGGTTTGTTAGACCAAGCTCGCAAACTTTTTGAAATGATGAATAGTGTGTACGGGATTGAGCCAACTATTGAACACTATGGTTGTATGGTCGATTTGCTTGGTCGGATGGGAAAATTTGAGGAAGCAGAAGAACTTGTGAACGAGGTTCCAGCAGATGAGGCTTCGATTTTACTAGAATCTCTTCTTGGTGCCTGTAAAAGGTTTGGAAAACTGGAACAAGCAGAGCGTATAGCAAATCGGTTACTGGAATCGAATCCACGTGAGAGTTCAGGTTATGTTCAGATGTCAAACTTGTATGCCTCTCATGGTAGATGGGATGAGGCTATGGAGGTGAGAGGAAAGATGAGAGCAGAAAGAGTAAAGAAGAACCCTGGATGTAGCATGATTGAAGTTGACGGGGTCGTCCATGAGTTCTTAGCTGGTGAAGGACTAAGAATCGAATAAAACCGGTAATTTCCAAAAATTATATTGGTCTTGTTCTGTCAATTTTATAGAATTGCTATTAGTTTTAGTTATAACCAAGAAGCATGAAGTTAGTTACATCGTAGAAAGCTTAAACTATCCACAAATCATAGTGATGAATCATGCACGGATCTATATATTACTATTCTACACCAAAATTAATGAAAATTAAAATCATTATGCACCTGCTGGAACACAGTGATGATCATGTCATGATATTCATCTGTATTGAGTCTGAGATAACAAACCAGAAGCTCTTTGAGTTCTTCAGGGTGGTTGATACCATTCTCCATGATCATCTCAATCATTGAATCTTTAAAATCCTTCTGAGGATCGCTCGAGCATTTAACTACTGCAAAGCTTTCGTTCTCCATTCCTCCATCTGCTGTTTCTATCAGAAGCTCGTGCTCCCGTGCTCTCAGTTTAGCCTTCTTCAAGTCTTCAATAGCTTTTACTCTACATTTTTCAGATGCTCTTGGTGAAAAAACTCTAACCTTGTTGTTTTCTTTTGTTCCTAATCTGTTTAGCTCCCTTTTTAGGTACAGAGATTTCCTCTGTTGGTCAGCCTTCAGCTTCACTTCTCTTAGTTTGACTTCCTTGAGCTTTTGCCACTGATGAGCAGGTTTTGTTACAGTATGACCAAGATTCACGGAATCCTCTCTATTGTAACTTCCTGTACCTGTCCTTCTCGCTGGTTTTTTCACCTTGACCTCTGCGTCTTGTTCTGATCTCTTTGGCTTTTGTTCGAGAAGCCTTTGGTCTCGTCTCTCACATCTCTGCTTGTCTTTGTTCACCTGAATTCTTGGCGTCATGATCACAGTTCCTTTGTTTCTATCTATTGCCTCCACTTCCAGAAAACCACATGTCTCTTTTTGGAAATCTCTTACTTTCTTCCTCACACTGCTCATTATCTCTTCAAACTTCTCATTTGACTCTTTATCTGCTGATCTTGTTGTAGCGTTCTCCTTTTCTACTGATACTCTTTGAAACCTTTTGCTGTTCTCATGAATATCACTTCGATGTTTAGTAGAACTCAAGGAAGTTTTTGCAGACATGTTCTGGCTAGCTTTTTCATCTTGCTTCTTCTCTTTTACAGGTTTCAAGTCAGAAGAACCACTTAACTTTGAAAACCAAGAAACAGGAAGAGCACGAGACAACCCGGAAGAAGAAGAAGAAGAAGAAGAAACAGGTTTCTTTCTTCCCCATCTCATCATTCCAAAATCTGAAAAACTTTTGTGCTTTCTTAGTTTACCGGGTGTTTTTTTAGGCTAGACTATGAAAAAAAGATGTATAAAAATGAAGGGATATGTATCTAGAGCTTACTGCTGTAATATGGTTAGGTCGTTGTGTTTAATATGAGGGAGATGAAGATGTCTTAACGGGTAAAAGCTAGTTGCAGTTTGAAAAAAGAACCAAACCCGCCTGAAGAATCCTGTGACCACTTTTAGCCTAAATAACTTTTTCTTTTATTGGTTCTGTTATCTCTGGGTATGTTCTGGAATTTATACCAAAGTGGGGGACCAATTTTAATTATCAATCAAAAACCAAACTTCATTGATGACAAAGACTTAGGCTCTCTCTCCCTTTCTCTTCTTTCGGAGTAACGTGACCGACCCAAGAACCACAAGAATCCTCCCATCTTTTTAGTTTTTAGTAGCTGTCTTAATACCGTAATAACATTGAGTTCTTAGATCATGGAATCTAGTGCCTTTGCAAAGGTTACATGATTACATCCCTAGTCATGTAGCAAAAACCAATACGGAATTAACCCTGAAACCCGAGTTTCGTCCAACACAACAACATGATTGGTCCCGGTCCTGGTCTCTATGGTCCTAGACTGAGAGATGTATGTTTTTTTTTTTCTCAATCATGAAGAAGGTAAAGTCGATGGATTTAGTGTTATCTCAAAGATAGAGATTTTGTGAAGTTTTGAGGAAGAAGTGGTCCTAACTTTAAAAGAACAGCTAAAAATCTCTCCATATGGATATATCACCTACCTTGAGGTATGGTTTGTGTCACCCCCCACCAACTTGTTCATGATTTTAATTTAATTTTTTTCTTTTATATAGTAATATACCCATCAAAAATGGGGATAGAGAAGCTTTTTTATTTTATTTACATTTGTTTTTTGTGTCTCTTATATTGTCAAGACTTGGCATTGAAGCATTCACAAATTCACCAATTTCAGGCTCTTCTACTTTCCAAATCTGAAAAGGAATAAAAGAATAATACCCCATCCCGTATTTATTATTTTTTTCTCACCGAAAAAGATAAATAAAAATGTAATTATAATTATCTTTTAAGATTTTTTTTGGAGACTAGTCATATTATCAAATGGGACAAGACTTTATTATATCACTGCTACTTCAAACTTGGTGATAGCGACGATACGGACCCCGTTATGTTTTTATTGATAAAGAAGAGTAATATGATGTAGTTATAATTTTATGTAATAAATTATTGAAAACATTATTTCTTTCTAAATTTCTTTGATTGGTTTCTTATACAAACTTTCAAGATTTGAACGACATTAAAGTCATCTACGGACTGTTATAGTTGACTCGATTTTTGTTTACCATTGTACTCCAATAAGCATTGAAATGTTTTCATTGAATAACATATCACTTTCTTATTGATGCTAAAATAGTATTAAATATTTACGGTCAATATATAATTTAATGATTTAACTTTATTAGCAAACAATATGAACAAATATCCCAACCAATCCGGGTGTCTTTCCGAGCAATTCTCTTTTCAACAACTTTGATTTCCTCCTTTGGAGAGCAAAAGACTCAGGAGCAACAAAAGAAAGCTTAGAAGCCTTTCCATGGATCCTCTTGTATGTTTGGAAAGCCAGGAATGATAAAGTCTTTAATAACAAAGACATCTTGCCTCCTGATACTTTACAGCTTGCAATCTCTGAAGCCACTAGTTGGAAATTTGCGCAAATCATTGAACAATCAGCAGAGAATGATGAAGAGAGGCCTCCGGAGCACCCCTCTGTCCTAAGTAATGGACAGATCCGATGTCAAGTTGATGCCTCATGGGTAAGTGATGGTAATACCTCTGGTCTTGCTTTCGTGCTCGACGCTCCATCAGGACGGCTTCTTGGATCAAGAGGTAAATCACGATTGCTTTCCCCGCTTCATGCTGAACTAGAGACCCTTTTATGGGCTATGGATTATGCTATACATCATGGATTTGAATCAGTTCACTTTGAAACGGACTGCACGGATGTGGTAAAAGTCATAGAGGAAGAAGACCCATGGCCAATCTTTGAAACAGAAATTGAGTCTTTTAATCTCATGCGTAATCGTTTTAGATGTTTTTCGATTTCTCATATTTCTAGAAACTTGAATATCCGAGCCGACACCCTTGCGAAAAGTGCTCGATCTCGTGATGATATTTTTTCCCATGTAAGTTATCAGGTTCCGGAGTGGTTGGCTATCGATGCCAACATTTTCGAACCAGCTTAATAATATATGGAGTCTTTTGCCGTCAAAAAAAAAAAAAAAAAAAAAAAAAATAGCAAACAATATGAACAAAAAAAAAACTCATTCGCAAACAATTTAAACCTTATATCAAACATAAGTACATAACCATTCTAATTTCTGCATTTCTTATGTCAATAACGAGACTAAACACTTACGTAGAGTGTTAAAAAGATAACAGATGGCTTATTAAAGATTTGTTTTCTAAAAATAAATTGGATTAAGAATTGTTCATAAACGTTTGATGTTTGTAAACTTTATAATATAAGGAAACTAATCATTAAAAGTCATTGACTTGCGATCGGCTCCATTTGACCAAGTGATCTTCTGATTTAGTTTACTGGGATTTTTGTTTACATGTATTCAATTGTTTCTACAAATGTACCAATTGTATCATTATCAATCTACTTAACATTTTTGAAGTACAAATTTGCTCTTTCCAATCGGGTCGGATTTTTTGTGATTTTGACCCGGAAATCTTAAATCGGATATTTCCTTATTTTTTGGCAAAATTCAAAAACGAAATTAATTAATAAATTCTAAAAATATATATTTTCTCAACTAATTACTACACCCAAACTCTTTATTTATGGCATATTCTTTCTGATATTTATATATAAGGAAACCAAATATGATGATTTAATGCTAATATAACAAATTTGAGCTAATTTCCTAAAACTACTCTACCTAATTTAAACAAAAATATATGATTCTCATTTCACTTTTATTTGATTTATATTTATATTATTTTAAATTATTATAAAATATATATAGTTAATAAAATTTTAGATTTTTTTCTACATATGCTATGTTTCAAATTTTTTAAAACGGACATATATTACTCAATCAATAAAAAAAAAATATGTGTACAATCTAAAGTACATATTTGCTCTTTTTTTTGGGTCAGTTTTGTTTTTTTTTTTAATTTTGACCCTCAATTAAGTCTTTTGGATACAAATAATGAGACTTTCCAAAAAAAATCCTAGCAATTTAAATGATTGATTTCGTATATATATGTAGTTATTACTAAATATATATCTACTTAACATTTTTGAATTACATTTTTGCTCTCTCATCGGGTCGGATTTTTTTTCTGATTTTGATCCGGAAATCTTCAATCGGATATTTCCTTAAATTTTGGCAAAATTCAAAAACGAAATTAATTAATAAAATCTAAAATATATATATATTTCTCAACTAATTATTATATCCAAACTCTTAATTTATGGTATATTCTTTACGATTTTTATAGATAAGGAAATCAAATATGATGATTTAATGCTAATATAACAAAATTTGAGCGAATTTCCTAAAATCTCTCTAATTAGTTTAAACATAAATATATGATTCTCATTTCACTTTTATTTGATGTTATATTTAAATTATTTTGAATTATTATAATATATACATATAGTAAATTTTGGTTTTTTCTGCATATGTTATAATTCAAATTATTTTTAAACAGACATATTTTACTCAGTTGATGAAGAAAAAAAATATGTGTGCAATTTATATTAACATTTTGAAAAACAAATTGCGCAATTAATCAGGTCGGTTTTTTTTTTATTCTGACCCGAAATTGAGTCATTCGGATCTTTTCTTAATTTCTACAATTATCTAAAATAGGAGAATATACCACGGGTGAAATCCTAAAATTAACAAATCAAAATACAATTGTAAATTATTTTTACGGGTTGGTCCAAAAACACTTAATTTAAAATATATATATATTTATATATATTATGAAAACCATTTGAAAGCAAACTTTTAAATTGATTCGAATTATATGTCTTTTAAATAAAAGTGTTATTAAAAAAATTACAAAATGATGTTTAATTTCACAGGACGGAATTATATGGTGGGATGGGTTTGGGTCGATATTAATATGGGACAATATACCACGGGTGAAATCCTAGAATTAACATATCAAAATACAATTATACAATCTTAAACACTAAACAAAATAAATACAACTTAAATTTTTTTATTTTTTAGATACAACGCATATGATCCGCGGTATAAAACAGAAAATATTATACACAGCAAATTCATTAGTTTATAAAAAGAATTAAAAAAAAATCAAATAATTAACCCGCGGTGTACCGCGGGTCATATCCTAGTGCAATGTTATATTGAGTAACATATCATTTCCTTGCTGATACTAAAAATATTGTTGTGTTGGGTAATGCCTTCAATATAGAATTCAATGCCTCACTTTATTAGCCAAAAATTTAACGGAAAAAAAAAATCCTTTAGTAGCAAACAATTGAAAACCCTATATCAAACTTAACCAGTCTACATTTTTCATAAGTCATAATAAACAATAATTATAGGGATTAGAGTTAACACGTTAGAAGTTGAAAAAATGGTCCATTCAAGATTTGTTTTCTTTGCTTTCCTCGCTCTCTCCGTTTTACTTGCGGGTTAGTCTCATTAGATCAAACACAACCATGTTTTTTTTTTCATTTTGATTACTATTCCTTAAAACCAAAATCTTGAATATGTGGTATATGCATGTATATATGTTGCTTTGCAGATATTGAAGCCACAAAATTAGTGAATGAAGAAGATTCAATTTGGTCTTCCAACAAAGGAGATTCATTGTGTTGCAACGATCACCCCGAATTTGGAATATGTACTAATAATATCAGTTGTAACAAGTGGTGTCTTCAAGGCTGTAGCAGTAAGAGAGGTGGCTTCTGCAAAAGAAGAATTTGTCATTGCTACTGTTAAATTAAAACTAATTGGGGTGCTTTGCTTTGTTCATCGATTTTACAAGAAAAACATGTTTTCAGCATTCTTGAGATCTTGAGACACAAAACGCACTTCTTGATGTGTTAGCGTCTGTGGTTTACATAACGCAGTTCTTGATGCATCTACATTAATAAAGATCTCTTCTTTCTTTTTTCCTTCAATTAGTTCTTACGAATGACTTTGAAGAGTTAGCACTAATCCATTTATTGGTGGTAAGAACAGATCCATAATGATTGAAAAAATTGCAAAGAAAGCCTACATTGATTAAAGTTACAGTAAAATCTGCGTATGATTGATCAAAGAACAAAAGCCTTTATCTTGTTGGAGATCTTGTCGACAGACATTTCCCGCACGACACGAGCTTCAATAACGAATGTGGTCTCGCCCTTCTTGTTCTCACCTTCAACCTCGTGGCCTATAATTTCAGAGTTTGCAATTTTTTCAATTACTCATAACCAAAAAGTTTTGATTTTCACTGAAGATATAGAGGGTTTTGATGTTACCTTGCGACGTGTGCCTCTTGAGGATTTCCAGCATAACAAGCTTCTTGATCTTGGTTCAAGTCTCCTGTAAGAAAAAAAAGGGTCAACATTTTTACTTGACCAATCCTTGGGATGTTTGATTAAGTGTTTAGAGAGATTCTTACAGATTCTCTTGTTCCAGCTTCTCGGCGATAGACACAGCCTTGCGTTTAGACCAACCATTTTGGAGTGTGCATCCATCAGCTTGCTGAATCACATGAGCCAACGAGACCTTACCTCTCACAATGCTTTGGCTCTGGTTCTGACTCTGGCTTGCTTCCAAATGTTTCCTTCTAGCTCGGGCTAAAGCAGAAGAACCAACTCGCTCTGTCCTCTCCTCTTCCTGCTGCTTCTGTTCTTGTTGTTGTCGTCTTTTTCCGTTAGACTCAGTAACTTCAACTATCTCACTTCTTCCACTTCCATCGATGTTGTAATCGTGGCCAATGAGTGCTAAAGATTGTGGCAGGCTCTTGTCTTTGACAGGTGGGTGCTGATGATGATGATGCACGTTGTTTCTTGGGTCTTTCTTTGCCTCGCATCTGATCTCTATAGTGACAGGAGACTCAAGAACCGCCTCGAACGCTTGCATAATATGGCCACGGAATTTCTCAGCCGTGGATTTGGTTAACGGCGAAGAGAACATTAGATGCACAGTAGGAGCTGCCATAACACCAAAAAACAAAATTTGGCTTCAAGATTTTTAGAAAATCCAATCAAAGATTTGAAGCCTTTTTCCCTTCAATTGCTTAATTCTAATCAAGATTTAAGCTTTTTCTACACCAGAACGAAATTGGCTTCTCGCAAAACTTTCAACATATATTAAGATTCAAGATTTGTCGATACGAAATGCATTACCTGATCCGAGATTAAGAGAGACGATTCTTCCTTCTTTATAAAGAAACTCTCTCAAACCGTTAACTCTAAGCTTCTCGATAACCTCTAACCAAATTTCTTCAACAGCGGGTCGGTTTTTTCTACTATCTCCTCTTCTTCTGTCGAATCCAGAACTTCTTCCACCTGCTGGATCACTAGAAGGATCCAGATGGTGATCTGAGCTTTCTCTACCTCCATTGTTCTCTAATGGTATTGGGCTACGGTTGAAACTAGTATCTGCAGTGGACGAACGTTGAAGCAGGTAGTTCTGATCAGGAGCCAATTGAAGCAACGCGGCTGTGAGCCAAGTCAGTTTATCGTTTGATACTCTCAGCTGTTTCTCTGCCTCGGATAACGTCTTAAGAGCCTGTCTCAGTTTCTCCATATCTTCTTTAGGTACTATACATAGTGAACAAAATCAAAAGTTAGATTAGAACAAAAGACCAAAACAAAGCTATTGCCATTTAGATAGGCTGGAAAATGTCGAAACTCACATGGTTGCCGTCGAAAAAACTTTCTTTTATGCCTATCTTTAGTGAAATCATAACTACCAGCAAGAATATCGGTTATGACCGTTGCAAGCTGAGACATTAAAGCCAATGGTTCTACACTTGTTTCCATTATTGTTCTCAGATTCTTCACAGTATTTACAGTATCTGCAGATAAAGCTAAATCAAGAAGATCCACTAATTTCTCATCAGAAACAAGCCCAACCTGAAAGAATTTCAATACGAAATTATTTTCAAAAAAAATATACTTTCAACTGTTTTACATAGTGGGGAGACAGAACAGTGCTTACCAGTTCCTGAACTAAAGGAACAGAGATCCTCTGTCCTAACAAACTCAGCTGTTCAAGAGTCATTTCAGCATCTCTTAAGGAACCATCTGATCTTGAAGCAATAAGCTTCAATGCATCTTTATCTATCTCAATCTCTTCCTTTGATGCAATCCATTGCAACGAGTAAACTATATCCGCGTCCTTAAGTTTCGGGAAAAAGAATTTCTGGCACCTTGATATGATCACATGAGGCAGAACATCAAGACTTGAACACACGAGTATAAAGACTACCCGACGTGGGGCTGCTCGATCCACCACTTTTGACAACGCGTTCCAACAATCAGATGACAAGGTATCACAATCATCAAATATGAACACCCGAGGTGACTGAGAAGAAACCATCACATTACCATCCAGTAAATCCATAATGTTCTCAAAGTCATAGTTCCCGACAGGACCCACTTCTCGAATGTTCCAGCTTTTACCCATATCATGTGAAACACAAGAACTGCAAGTGCCACAAGGCTTTGGTTGTTCCATGGAATGACAGTTCAAAGCCCTTGCAAATATCCGAGCGCAAGAGGTCTTTCCGGTTCCATTTGGACCGTGGAAGACATACAAAAGTCCAAGCTTTCGTCTAGCAACTGCATTAGAAAGAGCTTGTACCACCAGATTCTGACCAAGGAGATCCCGGAATGTTTTAGGCGTGTATTTTTCCGTTAGACTCTGATGTTGTTGCTGATGTCGATGCCGAGCATTTACATGGCTCTTCTTTTTGTGTTTTTTCTCCCCTGACCTTCCTTCTGAAGCAAGGTCAGAATCTTCATCATTCTTGAGCAGACTGTCTGCAAAGATCCCTAGCTCCCCCGAGTAATCGTGCACCCAACCATCATTCTCTGCACTATCAACTAGTAAGGGAAGTGCTTCACCATCAGAGCGGATAAAGGAGCTTGAGTCATCATCAGATTGTATCATCATCATATCAGAACCATTTCTCTCATTGGTTTCACCTTTCCTACCTTTCGAATCAGACATACCACAAGACAAACTCCTACCTGCCTTATCAAGAAAATTTTTCCCTCGGTGATGAATTCTCGACCAATTAAACGGAATCCCACAAGCTTTAGTCATGTTCTGTTCCCCAAATCCATCCTTCTCTCCCTCATGCTTCTCACCTTGAGGCAATGTGTTAGAAGCAACAGACATCTCACTCTTACCACCACCAGTATCTCTACTCTTACCCCGAACTCTCCTCGTCCCTCTAAACTTCCGTCTTTTAGGCCGACTCATTCCACCCGAACATCCCCGAGTATTACTACCACCACCACCTCCATACCTAACCAGTGGACGAACATTAGATGAAACCACATCATCACTATCACCCACAACAACCTCATTTAACTGATCAGACAATGTCTTAACAATAGCATCATTAACCCTACTAAGCCTCCTACTAGCTTTTGATCCCGAATTACCCGAAGCAACACCATGAGAAACAACCTCATTAACATTTTGATAATCATCCCCAATTCTATAACTCTTTCTACTAGATTCATCTCTCTTAACTCTCCTACCACTAT